AGACGGCAGTGTTAAAACATACGCGAACACGTGCGTTTGTGGGACAACACGTGTGTTTGTAAGACGCGCGCGTATTTCTATCGCTGTTCTGATTAGTCAGTTGTTAAGTTTGATTGACACTCCGGAAAGGTCTATTGTGATGTGATGAATTTTACTATATAAAAGTGTCATTTCCGGCAATCTCCATGTACTTTTCCTAATTTGTTTGTATCCAGTCGTCTATTTTTAGCATCTGGCCTACATTTCTGAAGGCGGCGTACAAAGAGCGTGTCGGCTTCAACCTGAGTACCATGGGAACCCATCTGTGGTAACGTTTCTTTCCAATTTTCTTTAAATACTGTAGTAAGTTCCAAGCAACTAGTGCAGGTAATTGGCCTAGGAAAGGAGTGAATTTTTCCGGCTTATTATATAGAAAGAAGCCCGAAACGGCCATTAAAATGTGTATATTTATAAATATTATTGAAACTATACTTTATTATTTATATATATATATATGTGTGTGGGGGGGGGGGGAACCACACCTACGGATAGCTAATACCATGAAGAAACGGAAGAAGCGATTGATCGGTCACATACGACACGAAGGTCTTATGAAAGACGTGATAGAAGAAGGAATTGAAAGGAAAGACTAAGAAGGAAGGAGGAGAATGATGATGTTGGACATGAAGGAAGGAGTTATCACCAGATGAAGAGAGATACAGAGAACCGGGAGTACTGGGGAATGTCGTGTGGGGACCTGCCTTCGTCACGTAACACTAACCACGATTACTTCAATGAAACACACATATTCTTTCACCCAAATCGAAGTTCAACCTCCGTAATTTAATAAAATACTTACATGATAGATAATTATACTCTGCAATGACACATTAGATCTATCTACAATCATTTTCGGTCCTATACACTTTAAACAATAAAAATAACCATAATGTGGAACTTAACATTTCGGTTAAGTGCAATGCCGGTATAGCTTAATATTAGTGGCGCTCTGGGCATACATTATGACCAAACCAAGTATAGAACATGCTAAAGTACTGTATACAACCACAAGACTTTTGATGAACGAAGTGTTGTATAAAAATGCAATAACTTGGAATTGAACCAAAAGTAAACAACACTAGTTTAGTAGGTGTTAGATTTTAAAATACATTATGTTATCACATATTAACTTATTGTTTTTAAATACTTCCAATACTGAATATTCAATTAAGTTGAATCAACCAAGCGTACCCAAATGGAAATCCATAATAAACGTTTCTAATTCTCAAAATATTGCTATTAGGTACTTTAAGAGTATTTTTTACATATATACAATAATACTGGATATTTGTCATATTCTGTTTCATATAAATGGTATAAGAACAAACAAATGTTGATATCGATTTGAAAATAACGCATCATATAAGCACTTAATTACGTCATAAATCACATGTTTAAGAAATAAGAAAGTACAGATTACTTAGCATGCTTAACTGTATCTAGAAAAGGTAAGTGTATAAATACGACCTATTACTTAATAAAAAGTTGATCACATTTGTGTAAAGACAAATGAAGACAGTCATTTCTATTAAAGTCAGGCACACAACGACCATTGGCCAACGAATTGAAATCTGCTCCCCGTACTGTGAGCGCTAACTGACGCCGGCTGCTGATTGTCGGAGGCAACTGGTCAGTCAGAACGGATGTCATTAAAAACGATCCGTTGCGCATGCGTTGTGGCATTGCTTTTTCATACGCATAGAATCGCGTTGGCCGATGATTTTCGGACGCATTGAGTTACAGGTTGACAACCAATGAGGAAAAAAATAGATTACGGGCGACTGCATCATTATATCCATAATGCATTGTTGCGGTAAATGAATATTACTTTTTTGTGATTGAATACAATTTGAGATTATCAACTTGCTGTTTATGATCCTTATAATTTATTATACTCACACATATGTTTACCAATGTGTAGAAAATAGATATAGGCCTATTATTATTAGTACTATCTACAGTAAGTGACTGGATTTATTTTACACTTTTCTTTATTTACTGTATCTATTTATAATTATTTAGAAAACTTATATTTATATACATACCTATTTCATTTATTACATTCTTATTTTCATTTATTTTTCATAGCATCCTCATTTTCAATTTGATTTCATTAAAGTTACTTTACACTTATCTTGTTTTCCTTTCCGTCTATTCACTATATTTAATTATAATTATTACTATTCATATTAATAATAATTACACAATATTTCTCGTTAAAATGCAATCAAATACATTAGTTAATAACTATTACGCTATTACTATTACGCTATTAACTATTGACTATGATCTTTTTTTCCTTGATGTTTCTTCCTGTTTTCAATTTGTTGTTTTGTATTTTTTGTATTTGCATTCTTGTTTAATAACCCTCCTTTTATTGGCGAATTTATTTTGCTGTTGGTTGTGGTTTTAAATAAATAAATAAATAAATTACAATTAATATAATAGCTCTATATTATAAGCATCAGACGCCATCAATAAAAACCCCTGTTTCTACATTATTTGGTAACATAAATGCTACTGAGAAAAGCGTATTGGAGCCTCTGCACGTAAATCGAAAAATTAAATTATTTGACCGAGAGCGTTGATAATTAGCCCAGAGTGGTTCTTGTGTTCTATATGTAGTATATAAAACACAATTTTGGAATTTTTCAAATTGTCAGTTTTCCAGCGATCCACTCAATAAATCTTTCCCATATTACGGTTAACAGATTTCTCCCCTTCCAAGTTCCCCTGTTTCCTTTGGCCAGCAGACCAGTGGATGCTGTCACATTTCCCTTAGGTTCTTTCCTAATGTTTTTCATTCCTCACAATTGTATGTCCCATACAATTCTTTAGGCTTCTTTCAATAACATCTATAATTACTCGATTGTACCCAACACCTGTCTCTTATACACATCTAGATGTGTATAAGAGACAGCTTCAATGAAACACACATATTTTTTCACCCAAATCGAAGTTCAACCTCCGTAATTTAATAAAATACTTACATGATAGATAATTATACTCTGCAATGACACATTAGATCTATCTACAATCATTTTCGGTCCTATACACTTTAAACAGTAAAAATAAGAGTTATGATTGAAAAAAAAAGAACTAGAGTTAAAGATTTACGGGAATATATTCGCCCACGAAAAAAGTGCGTATAGAACAATATCGTGGTCACGTGGTGTGGTTTCATCTAATCCGGACGCAATAGCACTTTTGCGCTCGAGCATGTGGACAATTTAAGCTGGGTATCTCACTGCGTCGGCCGACGAATCCAACTCCGTTCCCTGTGAGCGCTAGACGACAAGATGCCGTCTGTTGATTATCAGTAGTAGTCTGAACGAATCCGTTGCGCGCACGTCATGCCGTTGCGTTCAGCGGACAACCGTCGGCCGGGCGCAGTGAGTGACCGGCTTTAGAGGCATTTACACTCTATGTATTCTACTTTATACCCTATACTTCTTTTCTATTCCATCATAATTAAACTCTAATAAAAACCAGGAAAAACTTCATTTTTCATTTAGATAAAGTAAATACAATGGTATATGTACGTTTACATTCAGATGATTATGATGCGGCTCAGTCCAGACCCGTAGGCAGGATTTTCGATGGGGAGTGCGTTTTGCAACCGAAGTGGACCTTACGATGGGCGACTGCCTAAGGATCCCCGCGAGGGTGGGGCGAATCTTCTGGAAGCTCTGACTTAATTAGCATTTTGAGGGCCTTTTTTAATTTTTATAAAATCCATAATTTGTAATATCCTATTTAAATTTTCATTCATTTGAGTATTGTCTAGGGACCTACAGTAAAATAGGAGAAATAGAGGGTGGGGTGAAGAGAGAAACTTGCACAGACAGATGGTCAATACCACCTCAGCCCCACCATGGTTGGGGCTGAGGTAAGAAAATTTATGATTATGGCACCTCAAAGTGGCCGGAAATGGCACTCTCAGACAAACTTTAATTATGATTTTTCTTTTTTCTCTCCATTTATTTTATAATTTTAGGGGGCTCTCCTCCTTGAATCCACCACTGTGAAATTATAATTTTTCATGTCCTTTACATCTGCAGGCCTACAATCACTGGAGATGATAATTCCCAACAGATTTCGTAGCACATTATTAAAAATCAACGGGTAGAAGAACGGGCAAAAAATGTAATGCATACTATAGCATTTCGCGATAATTAGGAAAGAACTATTTTAGTGAAATAATAGGTTTTAATAAGTGGACTTTTTGGAATCTGGTGGTCCATGGGCAGGGGCCTAGAGGGGATTTGCGAGAAAAGCGACAAAGTAGCATTTTGAGGGTTTTGCATAGGCCTAATAGATTTCTCAAACACATAATTCATGAATATTTCATTTAAATTTTCATTAATTTGGGTGTTTTTGGGACCTGAAAAAGTAACGTTATTATGTCCCGTACATCTGCAGGCCTATAGATAACATTTTTCATATTATATAGATCAATCTGCAATCACCGGAGACGATCAATTTCTAACAAATTTCATACCACATTAGATAAGCTGGCAAATAATGCAATGCATGCTATAGCATTTTGTGATAATTAGGAACGGATTTTGTGAAATCATAGGTTTTTAAAAGTGGACCTTTTGGAATTGGGGGGGGGGGGTGCGTCCGCATCCTCTGCACCCCCACTGCCTACGGGCCTGCGGCTCAGTAATTCTGTTCATCAATAGATAAATTATTTAATTGATTGATTGATTGTTAAATTAACTGAATTGTGACACTTATTGATTTAATATCTTTCTTCATACGTAGAACATGTTATCTTTCTTCTCGTTAAAGTAGTTCCACAGATTCTGTAGACGTTCATTTATAAAGTCTTGAGTTTTGTTTAAAAAAATAGAAACCTTGTTGAGTGGATTCATCTGAGTCATCTAACTGACGTGGTGAAGGGATTTATTATCTTATGATCCCTATCGATGTTTGAGTCCAGACGCTTTCTCCTTTGGTTTTGTTTACAATTCATCGCAAACCACATAGAAGACCGCATCTCCTGACACATAGATCGCTGTAGAAAAACACAATACAGAGATGTCAAATTGTTTGTAATCTTGATGAATATGTTAGTAAAGTATCGTGCACTTATCTAGGGCATATAGCTCTACAAATTGAGCTTTTAAAGAAGTCATTATCAACATGTTGTATGCCACGTTTGTTTTTATTTGTAATGCATCTATATTATATCTAACGACCAATTTTCTGTATAATTATGGTTGTTATTCTAGACATTTCAAAGAGAAAGAACTGTTAATCTAGGAAGTTCTGTCTGTTAGGTATTGTCTACATGTACCGCTACACTATCCAGTATCATCATCATACTCCATAATTCATGTAGAAAAAATTCAAATAGTTCTGCAATGAGTATTATAAATAAAATGCTGATTGTAGCCTACGCGTAGCAGATAGGGCTACACAACACTGAATGCACAAGAAAAGTAGCTTTGGTTGCTACAGGACCGATTAAATGTATATTAAAATTTATACTTCGATTCAGATGATTTAAGCCGGATACTTTTCTGTCGAACTTCAAATTACAAACTATAAAACCATAATAGTAATGTATTTCCACTATCAAGATAATATTAAATATCACATCCATATCACCATATTACGAGCAATCGCAACACCTATTACTTTATTTATATTCTGTCCACAATATAATAAACTCAATGCATTGTGTCGTATGATTCAAATATACGGCTCATAAAAATAACAAAAAGATGTTTGATTGTAAGACCGTATGCTTCTAATAGACATACATTATGTTTAAATTAACACATTTTATTCTTTAAACTCGGATGCTTGTTTAGTACACGGTAGCATCGGTTAAAAGTAACATTGCTTCCTCAAAATTGGTTTTCATATACGTATGATACATTAATGTATATACTTAAAGAATTAAAAGCATCTTGGTATTTACAGACACTAAATGTAATATTGACAATTAAAATCCCTTTACCAACTTACAGTCAACAAACAAATCCTAACCTTTTCAATTTCCGCGTACTGTCGACTTTTCCAGAGGAACTCAGAGACGACAGCGAAGAGACTGAACGCAATACCAATAACAAGCACAACGAACACGCCGCCAATGTTCTCGTAACCCAGGCGGTTGTCGTCGTCACCAATTTCATAGGCTTTGCAGGAATCTTTTTTATAGCTGCCCTTATGCCACCATTTATTTTCCATCTCTATCAGGGTACCGTTTTCTTGAAGTTGAAGAATAGATTGTGTGACCCTGTCCCGAAGATGTGACCCTGAAAATAATTTAACAGTTTCGAAAGATTTTAATTATGTGCACTGAATTATAAACTTGAAGAAAAAAAAAAAACACCAATACACAAATTTTTGAATTCCTTGAATTGAATTGAAAATTATAATATGTTATCTAATAACAAGAGTTTGCTGATCATTTTGGCGGTAAACTGGTGGTGATTTAAAACGTAGAGACTGACATTATAAAAAAAATTGCAAATTAACACGGCCTTGTTGGATCATAAAGTATTATTCTTCCATATTTTAATTAGGCTTTTAGAATTGAGATATGAATATTAATAAATTGCAATAGAAATCTCTTCTGGGAGATCTGATTAAATGAACTTTCCTATAACTTTATTTTGCTGCGTTTTGTGTTACCAATGGCGTATCTAGGGGGTCGCGGAGGCGCACGCCCCTCCAAAAATTACGGTCAAGTAGTTAAAAACCACCTAAAATCCCCTTATTTTGCGAATTCTGGTCATCGAGCCCCCAATTCACATTTCTCCCCCCCCCCCCACCGGGGAACCTTCGCGATTTTCGGGAGACTTGGGACATATCGTAAAACAAATAATCGCATCATTATTAAACGGAAAAGTTAAAATATGTATTCTTCTAAACTTACCGAGTGGCGTTCCTATTCCATAACTAATTGTGTTTAATAGACCACCGATTCTTGTCAGATTTCGACAGTATTGTGAAATGTAATATTCAGTAGCTGTGGATTCCATAAGGAACGCGTAGTCTTCTTCGTCGCTAAGCACACGATTGACTCCGTCTTCCTCTCTGTCTACGAATACTTCTGGCTTGTTCGACATAAACTGCCACATTTTTTCGAACGTAGGAATACTTGATCTCTGATGAGGTAAAAACACAGGGTTACTATAGTTATCAACATCTTGTCTTCATCTTTATGATCATCCTCATAACGATACATCATCACGATCACCTTCATCGGTACTTTAATCAACATCATCATCACCACCATCATCATATTTATCATCTTCCTCATTATTATTGTTATGATCATCCTCATGACAATGCATCATCATGATCATCGTCATTATCAGTGTAAGCACCTTCATCAACATCGTCATCGTCACAATCATCATCATAATTCCCCTCATCATATTCTTTTATCTTCGTCATTATTATTATTATTATTATTATTATTATTATTATCAATATTATTATAATTATTATTATTATTATTATTATTATTATTATTATTAGTCCTAGCTTATTGGTAAGCTATTATTAATGCTAGTATTAAAAGGTTCTCCAGTATAACCCTTACACATGATGTACCGAATCATTTTATTATTCTTCAGTATAAATGAGCTTGAATAACTGTAAAAAACGCAATACTTTAATTCAATTCAAATTTTATTTCAGACATTCATTGTCCATAACAAAAAATAAATACTGAAACGAAAACTGTACAAAAGTAATATCAAACAGACATTTGTAAAAAAAACAAAAAAAACAGAGGCGAATAATATACGTTGTATGTTTAAGTAGGCTTTGATTTCAATCCAAAAATTAGAATGAGAAAAACCATGTTTGTATTGACTTGTATCTATTTAAGGCATGCCCATCACAAAATTTGTATTTTCTCTGGATCATGGCTTCTTTCAGCTTATTTTGTTATTCCTTCTTTTTTTTTTAAATCACTCTTTTTACTCTAAAAACCGAAAGGTCCAGGCTGATTAATCTCAGATAAGATAGCAGGGGCGGATTTAGGGGGGGCGGCCCGGCCCCGGCTCCCCCTTTTGGGAGGTAAAAAAAAGGAAAAAAAAAGAAAAAAAGAAAGAAAAAGAAAAAAATGATAGCCCACAACGCCTCAAATGTTATTTTCGGGCGTCTAGAACACAAAAATTTCGCGGGGGCATGCCCCCGGACCCCCTAGGTCACTGTTGTCTCGGTCGGCCCAAATTTCGGCCCCCCCCCCCTTTTGGACATCTCTGGATCCGCCCCTGGATAGTATAATACATACTCCAAGTATCGAAATGCACGCCATCGTGTCGGGATTCAATATTTCGACATTAATTATGTCATCATCGTACTTAAAACTGGTTATACAATAAGGTGGCCTCTAACGAACAACGAGGACACACGACACATTCTCCAGTGAACTTTCACTGTGGTAATTATTTGATGTATAGTAGGCCTACATATTTCCATACCTTTTTAACTCCCTTATTTAACATGTAGGTTTATCTGAATTAGTATTCGTAACGGAATGTGTCCATGCCAACACTTTAACAGTTTGTGTGCTGTTGATAAGGATCTAATAATTATACAAAGCTATTCTTGGTATGTCGTGTTTTCATGTTGTCTTACATCCTCCATGTTCTATACAATCTAAACTCAATATCTGGAGCTGGATTACGGATGTAGAAGAAGTATTAAACTAATAAGGTTCCTACATCACGTACAGTAAGCATAAAGCCGGGCACTAGCTCACTGCGCCCGACGGCCGACGCGATTCTATGGTGAACGCGACACAACGACGTGCGCGCAACGGATCGTACTGCCACCGACAATCAGCCGACGGCGTCGTGTCGGCTAGCGCGCGCACAGGGAGATGAGTTGGATTCGTCGTACGAGGCAGTGGGTGCCCGGATTAAAACATAGCATTATCGCTCAGACTTTTAAAGAAATTAAATCAAGTTGGAAGAAACACTTTCTAGGAGATCTTGTTAAATGATCTTCCTTAACACATTTTACTCCATTATGCTGTGCATGCTCCCAGCTGCTCTTTCAACGGGAGAAAACTAAATACAGTATAGAAACATGTAATAAATAAATGTGCGGGAGATGGGTTGGTTTCCGGGAGATTTTTGCTCAGTTTGCGGGATGGAGTAGTGCGGGCCGTCTTAGGACCCCAAGGCCGCCATCGGGACCTCACCGGCACTTTTCTCATTTACTGTTTAAAATATATATACCATTACCTATATTATTTTATAAATGTATTAATGATTTTTGCACGAGAGTGTTATTTAAATGTTATATTTAAATAAACTAAAACACCATACGTATTTTAGTATTGTACTATCTTAAAGGTTTTTTGACTTCCTCGAATGATTTGAGATAGCAAATAAGCGTATTGCTTAAGCGTATTGTTTTTAAGATTCCGAAATTATTGTAAACTGCTATTCTAACGCAGAGCTTAATATGATAGCTTTTCCTTTCTAAACTCTTAGTAATAGAGGAGAGTATACATTTCCGAATATTTGTAAAACAAATCACCATCAACCTTCCTCCTCCCCGTCTCTGTTAATTCATTCCTAGTGATATGCTGCCGGACCACTTGCAAAATGATTCCGACGGCTAATGGACCCTAAAATACGACACTATGTGAAATTGTTAGTACAAGCATTAAAATATTAAACAAAAACAAGAGAAACAAAAGCGACGTTACAAACCTTAAAGAATAACTGCGTGGCGCCACTTGATAATGTTCCGTACTCTATTGCCGTCTGTCTGGCAAGATCATCGGCGTTCTGAATTGGTGATGTCATCCGGTTCACAGTCAGAAATGCCGCCAAATTCGCAGTATACGAGCATAAAAGAATTAAAGAGAAAAACCAATAAAAGCCGCTTAGTGCCCGTGTCGAAAACGCCTTTGGTGTTAATTCAGATCCCTGCTGCATTATTCCTCCAAAAGAGAACCACATGCAGTTGAGAAACGTGAATTGATTCTCTACGACGTCGCACTCTGGATTGCACGGGTGAGAGTTGTACCATTCGTACGGACTAAATCGTGCCACCAAAAATAGCATTATGCTGACGCTCAGAAACGCTATTAAGATATACAACCAGACGTCGAAAGATAAGGGGTTGAGGAAGGAAAATATACCGGGACTCTTTGCTTCGTGGATGTTGTATAGGATACTCAAACCGAGATACATGTAGGGTTTCGAAAAACCTATTACCTTCTCTCGTGCAAGATTAATAGTCAAAGGTGCTACCGCAAGATCCGCTTTCTGAAATTAAAAATAATATTGATAATGGTAGGCCCTGTCTCTTATACACATCTGCCCCTGGATAGTATTAACAAAGTTGCTCAGTAACAATGTGAACATATTTAAATATAAATTGGTAAATGATCAGAACTCGTTTGTTTGTTCCAAATTCCTGTAAAATACATGCTTATTATACGGAGTACAATTATTTGTTTGATCCGTTTTATATTAAGAAACATTGATTACTACTCCAGGCATACATCCTTACCTTACCTTATCAATGAGTTCTTTAACCATTCCATTCCACTCGTTTGTATCAGCATTGACCAATGTGCCATACATACCATCCTCGACTAGCGTAAGTTTGTATTCAAAGTCCATCATTTGTGCCAGATAGTTAAGCAGTTCAATACAAAAGCCTTCGTACATGCGACCTTGGCTCTCTGTCGTATCTTTTAACATCACGAACGGCTTTGCCTGGGGATACAATCATTTCGATATTTGCAGTCGGAGGTAGAAATACTGAAATAGCTTACTTAATACTAGAAATACTAGCTTAATGTATTTATATTTAGTTATAAATGCGTTACTTTTTCATCGTTATTATTATTATGGCCTATTATTATTATTATTATTATTATCATCATCATTATTATTATATTATCACTATTATTATATCATTATTAAGAATAATACCATTTGAATGCGTCTGAATATCAAAAATAGTCGGACCCAATTCAAAGTAGGCGGAGCAAAGTCGGTAAATTTCGACGTTTAACCTTTACGTTCGACTTTACGACTCGAAAGCTCATTATATATTTAATTCAGAATAGATAATTTACAGCTTATCTCTTTACAAATTAATGTATATATTTATGTATCAATTAAAAGTTGATACAGATAGCAGGAGCTGTTAAAATATATATTATATTTAATACATTTGTCTATCTTAATCATAGGTGCCTAATTTATGTATACATAGGCGTATAATAATATGCTTAAATTTGTATAGGTTTATATTTTAACATTTTATGTGATGTATGTGTTGTGTATTTTAGTATGTGATTGTATCAATTATTATATTTTTTTATTTTAAACAACAAACAACCAGAATTTCAAACCGTATACTTTACAGTGTTTGACAATGAAAATTGAATTGAACTAAGTTGAACAGGCTATAGCCGTAATGTATAAAATTAGATGTAAATAAAAATGAAGACGTGATAATAAATAACTAACCAGGACAGATGTTATCCGTAATATTTTCTTAATATTTGGTTTTTCAATAATTTTGACTTCTCTTTTCGCGAAACCATCTGTTTTGTTCCAAGTACCGATCATGTTTTTACCCGTTTGTGTATATTCGTAGATGTACAGTTTCACATCTTCTCTCATTCCGTTTCCGTTGAAGCTCAGCTTCCCTGTTATGCCATTGTATCCTGCTGCCTAATATTAGCAAATCAAAAATAATCAAACGATTATCAAATAGAATAAGATTACATTACAAAATATCCTATGATGCTCAGTGGCGTATCTACGGGGTGCGCTGACAGGACGCCCCTCCAAAAATCACTTGCAACCCCCACCCCACCCGCCCCCACAAAATCACGGTCAAGTGGTTAAAAATCACCTAAATTCAACTTATTTCGTGAATTAGCGCCTCTCAATTGATCATCGAGCCTCCTTCACCTTCCTTCGCACCCCCATCAGCACCCACATTTATAATTGCTTACACCAATCAATACTATTTCATTTCATTTAATTGTCTCAAACAATTAAAATGTACATAAACAGAAACGGCAAAGACTCAATCACAAAAGCACAAAAAAGAGACAGGACACTCCAATTCCACTGTCGAGTGGATGCCCACGAGAAAAACACAAACTATCCTACCGGAGGAAAGTGTTCTTCATGAATACTCTCATAGTTATTTTCTATACTATACTCTATTTAATAATAACATAATATATATATTTACGCTAGGTATGTTGTTACTCCGAGTTTCATCATGGAGCGGTTAGGTGACTCTATTGTTTTTAATACAGTTCAGTGGGTTGATGTTGTGACGACACTTAGCGACTAGTTCGGTTCTTTTGTTTATGTTAGATTGTTTTGCCATTAGGATTGCTAGTTTTTCTTCTATGCATAGTTTGCACTGGCCAGATTTATGTTTGTGTGTGTTGGATTTCTTGATGATTTTCCATTTCAGAGAGTATTCATAGCCCTTTCTTTTTAATTCCAATATGTGTTTTGAGAGTTCTGTTTCTTTTTTATATTTTTCGTGCCTGAAGTTTGTGTGATTATTGAATCGTTTCTTGAATGCTCCGCCTGATAGTCCAATGTATGAGATTTGCCCCTCCTCGGAAGTTATTGTAGCCCTATATATCAGTGCACTGTTTAGGTATTCGCCGCGTAGTGGGCAGTTCTCTTTATTTCTGCAGTTGCATGTTTTTAGATTTGTTGCTTTAACTTCCTTTTCGATGATTGGCGAGTTGTGTCCCTTGATGATGGAATTCATGTTTTTCATGCAGCAGGCCCTGAGTTCGAAGCCGCCACTGCCCTTCGCATAGTGGATTATCATTTTTCATTGTTTTTATAAGCTAGGCATATATCGATTGATATATGCTGTCGGACGTACATTATTCACGGCCGTGAACATGACTATCAACCACTAAAGAGTATTTGTCAATCAAAGTGATGTTCTTATTTACCTTTTTCAACGCGTTAAACATTTTGGTTCCGTGGCGCCACGTTTGGTTTGTAACTATCAAATCACAGTCCAGGTTTTTGATTTTCTTGATATCCTTGCCCTGTGCACTGCTGTAATTGAGCGCGCGACCAACTAAATTTACAGCATCGTAGATCAGAGCAGATTGAATCTGAATTGAAAATAAAACAAACTCGTTTATGATTACACTATATATTTATCAACATCGATATCATTATAATCATTGTCATTTTCATTGTAATCATTATCTTTATAAATTTTCACTATCACTATAATTGTACCACTACCATCACCATGCAGCATGCGGCAGCACCATCTGCATAATAATAATAATAATAATAATAATAATAATAATAATAATAATAATAATAATAATAATAATAACAATAATAATCATCATCGTCTTCATCGTCGTCGTCGTCATCGTCTTCGTCATCACCATCATCAATATTATCCATATTATTATTTACTTTCAATCAATCAATTCATTAGGTAGCTAATAGGGTTTTATATGCACTTTGAGATACAAAGAACTGGACATAGACTAGTTGATTAAGGCGTCTGCATAGACAGCAGAAGGTCCTAAATTCCCAGTTGGTGAAGGATCTATTTTTTCACGTTTGCAAATTTCTCTTCTTTAATTTTTAAAATATATTTACATATATTAATTATAAAAATACCGCAAGATGGTTTAGAGTTTATCTCTATTAAATCATGATTTATTTAGAAAAAAATGTATCTCTTCAGAGATCTCGGCTTGTCGGCTAATGTTTATTTGAAGAGGGCGTATCATATTGATCTCTGTTATTTGACATGCATCAAGGAATAGTGCTATTGAACAAGAGTGTAAAGGATTTGATGCTTTAATCGGATTTGAATTCCCAACAAAATCTCAATGGCCTAGATGGTTAAGGCGTCTGCATAGACAGCAGAAGCTCCCGGGTACGAATCCCGTATAGGGCACCTATCCCTTAAAACTCTCAGATTCCTGTTCTTTAATGTTTACATATATTTATAACATTACCGCAAGATGGTTTAGACTTTATTCCTATTATAGCATTT